GCAATTGGGAACCGATGACATGTGTCAACCAAGCCAGCGAGCCTGACCACCCGATCCCGTTAGTCGCCTCTTACATACAAAAGACGCAGAATCGCGAACAGACACTATATCCTTAACCTCTTTTGGGTAATACATATCGACCGAAACAGGAGACATGCTACTAGAAGCCTCCAGTACAACCGAGAAGTTGCAGGATAAACTACCTAGGTTTTGACAAATAACAGTGCACCATTTTACTTTTTAATTGAAATGTTGACATCCTGGAAGAGATCCCTTGTCAACCTTTGATGCGGTAGATGTGTCGACATGTCAGTTGACGACATGAGCGTATGACGAGTAGACGTGCTGATATTTTCAATGTAATTCCCCTGATATGAGGTAATCGTGTCTTAGGAAAAGGTGACAGGCCTATTCACCCCACCACAGACATAATAAACTTGGGGCTTTAACCAGACATCTTTTGAACGGCTTGGTGGAGAACAAACGACAATCACATTCATGACGTTATTGTGACGTTAAATCCTAGTATTTTACGAGCGCTTCGTTCGCTGTTCTCTCAGAAGTACAAATTTTGTTATCACAGTCAGGCCTCTCTTCTCTACATCTCTCTAGGAATCATGCGATGTGTATAGGTGAGCGCACTGACGCATGAACGGCAGACAGCCACACACGCTTTCTCTCCCACATGCATATACGCACCCCCACGCAGACAGCGTAGAGAACAGTACTGGGCCCTTCATGATGTTAGAATGGGGTTGTCGGGTCCTGTTCAACGCACAAGTGGTAGGCAACACCAATGTAATAAAACAGGTAGCTTTATAACCAAGAAAGGGGAACACATACTACATGTCAACACTGACTACCCACTCCAGTATGGCTACTTTAGTGATATACTACATGTCAACACTGACTACCCACTCCAGTATGGCTACTTTATTGATATTAAAGAGGATCGTCCATGGAAACAGTTCACCAATAACCAGTAAATTACCAGGAGTTTTAATGAGTACTTATAGGATGCTGGCAATGTATGGTGTTCCGTGAAAGCCATTATCGTTTTGAGATATCCACACGAAACTGCAAGTATTGCGAGTAGGTGAAAGAGTACTTGTATGAGTAACTTTCGGTATGCAATAGCGATAGGCTGAACGATTATGTTGCGATAAGTGAATGAAAACTTAGCTTTTGTATGATTATGTCCCGTCTGTAACTTTCGATATGAAAACTTAGCTTTTGGCTGAACGATTATGTCCCGTCTGCTGCTAGTCGATATGAAAACTTAGCTTTTGGATGAACGATTATGTCCCGTCTGTAACTGTCGATATGAAAACTTAGCTTTTGGCTGAACGATTATGTCCCGTCTGTAGCTAGTCGATATGAAAACTTAGCTTTTGGATGAACGATTATGTCCCGTCTGTAACTGTCGATATGAAAACTTAGCTTTTGGCTGAACGATTATGTCCCGTCTGTAACTGTTGACATGAAACCTTAGCTTTTGGATGAACGATTATGTCCCGTCTGTAGCTAGTCGATATGAAAACTTAGCTTTTGGATGAACGATTATGTCCCGTCTGTAACTGTTGACATGAAAACTTAGCTTTTGGATGAACGATTATGTCCCGTCTGTAACTGTTGACATGAAAACTTTTGATGAACGATATGTCCCGTCTGAAAACTTAGCTTTTGGATGAACGATTATGTCCCGTCTGTAGCGTCTGTAGCTGTCGATATGAAAACTTAGCTTTTGGATGAACGATTATGTCACGTCTGTAACTGTTGACATGAAAACATAGATTTTGGATGAACGATTATGTCCCGTTTGGAACTGTCGATATGAAAACTTAGCTTTTGGATAAACGATTATGTCACGTAGCTTAGCTTTTGGATGAACGATTATGTCCGTCTGTAACTGTCGATATGAAAACTTAGCTTTTGGATGAACGATTATGTCCCGTCTGTAGCTGTTGACATGAAAACTTAGCTTTTGGATGAACGATTATGTCACGTCTGTAACTGTTGACATGAAAACTTAGCTTTTGGATGAACGATTATGTCACGTCTGTAACTGTTGACATGAAAACTTAGCTTTTGGCTGAACGATTATGTCACGTCTGTACCTGTCGATATGAAAACTTAGCTTTTGGATGAACGATTATGTCCCGTCTGTCGATATGAAAACTTTCCTGTGATTGAGAGGTTGTGTCCCACCTGTACAATCATATACCTGTTTGTAAACATCTCTACGAGATAAAACCAGTCAGACCTCTTTCAAGATAAACGTGTGTTATTACCACGAGCCATCTGTTTTAACACCACCTGTAGTGAAAGTGTTTCTTTATGTTCAGGTTTTACCGTCATGTAAATGCTATATGTTACTTGAATGTTTATGGTATCTCGTTATTCTGCCCGGAGTAGCTACTGCAGCTTGAATAACACGTGTTTTATAGCGTTGTCTTGCATAAATACAAACACGGTGAGATATGAGCAAATACACTCTTCAAAACTGAAACCCATTGGCGGTCTTTGAATGTTTTGTGCATTTCTTCTTTGATTGGCATTTTGTTTTGTTTTATGCATATTTCATTGAATTTGATTCATACAAAGATGGCACTTAGGGACCGTTCATAATTTATGGCTGAGTGTGTGTGTGGTGGTTTTTAGGATGGTGGTGCGTGTGTAATGATGATTTTCATGGAGTAGCATGTACAATGTGAAAGGACACCCTCCCCCACCTAAAATCTAAGTAAGTGACCCCGCCCTGCATGCCATGTACAAATCAATGCCTCCCCTTCCCTTACCATAATTTTTAAGCATATTTATTTGATATTTCTATGTACAAAATGCTGAACAAAACACACACCCCCCCCCACACACACACACACACCATCACCACCAGTACATGTGTACAAAATTGATGACCCCCATGCCTCCCCAGAACAAAATGGGCGACTCCCCCTTAATTCATCATCATCAAAACCCCCTCCCCCTATCGTAAGCCATAAATTATGAACGGTCCCTTACCATGGGGATAGTCATGTGTTCTGCAGACCTAGTGGCAATACTGATTGTCCTGTCATACGACACACGTGTCCACGAGGGGGCGTTCTGATCAGTGCTTGGTGTGACCATGGCGTCACAGCTCAGCACATCACTTAGCACAAGCTGAAAAGTCCACGGATTTTGTAGTGCGGAACTCTCGTCCTTCTTCCTGTAACGCTTGGACAGTATTGCAGTTTTCTGTTAGTGCATGAGTGTGTTTAGATTTACGCCGCTTGTTTATGCAATATTCCAGCAATTTCAAGGCAAGCGACACCAGAAAAGGGGTTTTCACATTGTACCCATGTGGGGAAACGAACCCAGGTCTTCGGCGTGACCCACTGTTCCGGAAGTGTCTGTGGCGCATGCCGAGGTCACTTCACAGATGCCCTAGGATATCGGGTTCAGATCCGGAGATGTGGAAGGCCATGACAAGACATCGACGTTTGAATCATGGCGGAAGTGAACAGAGACAGAGCTCTGAGTGATGTAGCGTTGTGGTGCTGTGAACAGTTCGGTTGATAATCAACAGATGACGTTGAAGGATTTGGTCGAGGTACCGATTTGATGTCAAAATCCTCCCGAATGTAGGATTTGGCATCCTCGATAATCTCCAGAGTATACGTTACGATCACTCTTCACTATACCCTGGATGCATCCACGGCTTGACCCGATAATTATATTACCTACAGGCACAAGGGGTCATCTCAATGATATTTTATTCTTTTTCATGTGTGTTGAACATGTCTCATCTATTGATTTACATCTTACGTGTCTTTCTTTCATAAAGTTTATAATGAGATATGTAAAAGAGGATGATACCCATGCCCTAGAAAAGCTTAAATCAGCCATCGTATTCAATGTCTCAAAATATAGTGGTGGCATGATCACCCGAAGATCGACAGGACTGGATATTATTTGTAAATTGTTATGACATGCCGTTTTCTTCCACAGTTTAATTCCCCTAAAGGATTATCTTATCACTATCTCCCAGCCCGACCCCAACCACCGTCTGCGACACCAGTTGTGGTTTTGCTTTTGAGACGACCCCTCTTACCTGTTTCTTTTTATAGTGATAGTGAGAGTCTGTGGGAGCTACATCCTCAATAGTTTCAGTATTAAAGCTATTATTTTGTACGTCAGCTATCATTTATAATGAAGCTAAGTTTAATTTCAAAATGGGCATTTAAAAAGTGTCCTTTGTAATACAATATCATCGCACACTAATTTGCATAAAGCCATGATCTGTTCCAAATAAGTCGCTTTGGACTTAGTAAAAACCCGCATTGCTCATTTCTGCACTAATCTCTCCTCAGTAAAGTCCCTTTTCTACGTTTTCTATCTCTCTACCGCTGAGACTATAGTTAGGCCGAACTTAGTTTAACAGATATTTCCTACTTTCACATGTTAACTACTTAAACTGTAGATATAAATGCGAAAAAAAAGTGTTTTTTCTACTTCCAACATTACTTTAGGACCACAATATGGTAATACGTTGTATTAAAGGATTGTTTCAAGTATAGTAACCAACTGCAAACTTATGCAGATGAATTGCACGAGGATCGTGCATCAATTTTCTGAAAAGCATGTGCCTATATCGTGCATGTGAACAGCTGCGTTGTGGTGTAAAGTTTTGTTAATTCGCAAATGTTCAATGAGTTTCATGATTTATTGAACTCATGAAAATAAGTGTTTCAACGTCATGAATTTGTTTTACAATACATCAGTTCATGTGTAAACAGTCCCTTTAAAGTTGTAGTTTAGAACAGTTGACTGTAGTAAGTGGCTACCTTTACACTAGTGAGTCTAAACCTTTGATGGGTAGGATATATAGACATGATGACGACGTAGCCTTAGGCGTCATAGACTTCGCAAGTTAACGAACATATTTTTCATGGGTATTCACATATCATTAAGGTTTAAGGATTATGTAAGTGAATCTTTGTGGTTTTAAATACAAGTTGCTTCATGATGCTAATGTTTGGAGTTCACGACTTTACGTTGTACCACCCGAGAACTGGAGTCAAACAAGCATCAGTCTGAGGCATTGCGGGGTCAGTTTTACCGGACTGGTCCGAACATCTTGTTAATTGTTCAAGTTAATAAAAGGTCGAAATGAGTAGTTTTAATGACGGGGTTTCATTTATAACGATGCCAATAAATGATTTATGAATTTGTACCCCCATAGAGTATATGTGATCTTTAAGGTAAAAGTCGGTCCATTAAGTACACGTGGTATGTGGCGATCAAACAGACCACCAGAGAAATAAATGGGATGAAACTATTTCAATTAACATAGGAAAACACTGCTTAAAGTAGTGTTCATTGTACTAAAGACTGATATACGTCTTTGATTGTACGATTCCGACTGTCATGATCATACGTTTATAAATCACTTTCAGACAGTGAGGCAAGCTGCTCTGACACACAGGTAGCACACGTCATAAACACACGTTAAGGCAAGGCAATTGTTCACCTATAAACATTAACACCTATAAGCATAACAGTTAAAATAAGGAACAGTATCAAACCTCACTGTTTTGCCTCTGATATCTTAAATTTGGAAATCCACACCACATGTCTAGAATTAAACTTTTTGAAAACTTTGCTGAGGCCATAATTGCCGAAACACTGGTTAAACAACTTGCGAACGTGGGAAAGAAGACAGTTCAGAACTTCAGATTGTTTTGGACCTGCAACTGTGAAAGCTGTGGGCTCACACGGAGGTAAAACACACATATTGAGGAGGAAAACTGACGATGAAACATTTGTGTTTATACAAGTTCTCATTCTTAATAAATATTCAGTGTATTTATCCAAGAGCCAGTGGTTTCTGATTCACTCGGGTCAGTTTGATAGACGACCTCCATCGGTAAGGAAGAGGATGTAAGTGGTGACGAATATGTTGCGTTGATAAACAGGAAGTCGGTAAGATGACCTCGCACTAGACCACGTGCTGACAGGAGCAGTGGGGTAGCCTTGTGGTTAAAGCGTTCACTCGTCACGCCGAACGCCCGGGTTCGATTCCCCACATGGGAATAATGTGTGAAGTCCACTTCTGGTGTCCCACGCCGAGATATTGCTGGAATATTTCTCAAAGCGGCGTAAAACTAAACTCACTCACTGATTCGTTGACAAGTTAATATGAAACCTGTCCAAGGGGCAGCACCAAGGTACGGAAGCTGCACTTGCGCTCGTCAGTGCCCCGTTTACATCACCGGCACATGCGATTATCAATTCACTATCCACAGATTCCATGTGAATTATTTTGTTACCTAAAAAGGTATTTAAGTCTCTTCGTCAATTAATGGTAGTAAAGTGATTCAACCTATTGTCAGTAATTCGGCTTTAATTCAGAATTTATATACATTACTTTCAATTTCTGTGGACAAACCACCTCCTTCCTACAAATACAAAAAACCCAAACAAACAGACCAACCCACCCTCCACCCCCAATCTAAATTATCAAAGTGTTTTCATAATACATACTTTCAAGCCTGCATTTTAAATTTTATTCTGTTCTCCATACCCGACCACTACCTGCATCTTGACCGCTGTTTTGTTACACCTGTCATCACTTACACCTGTCATCACTTACAGCTGTCATCACTTACAGCTGTCGTTCGATCCCCGACCGCGTCATACCAAAAACGTTAAAATATGGTACTTGTTGGTCCCTGCCTGGCGCTCGGTATTAATAGGTACAACAAGGACTGGTCGGCTCGGAGTCAGTATAATGTGTCTGAGTGGGGTATTCATGCTTCACTGCGGCATGGTATCTCAGTGGGCTAGCACTATAAAACCAGCTTCAGTCTGGGCTAGTACAAGCAGCCGCACATACACATACACACGCAAGCACGTCGTCATATGAGCGAAATATTCTCAAGCACGACGTTAAACCCAATTCCACCACCACCACCACTTACAGCTGTCAAATTGTTTCATGCGGCATCGTATCATGACGACCAGATATGAATAAGTGAGTGAGTGACTTTAGTTTTACGACGCTTCCAACAATATCATGGCGGGGACCCCAAACATGGGCTTCATACATTGTACCTATGTGGGGATCGTGTCCGGGGCTTTGGAGTGACAAGCAAACACTTTAACCACTAGGCTTCTCTACTGGGCCTATGACGACAAGGAAAGCACACGGTGCTCCTCGAAGACGTCACATGTATGTTTAAATTTCTCAGAACCGCCATCCTACATCCCGTGTTTGTTTACAAACATGCGTAGATGTTGCAACACAGTCCCCGAAGCCAGGAAGTAGACCCTTGTGTGTGTCCGTATATATATCACACTTCAGTCCCGCAGTAACTATATCACACTTCAGTCTCGCAGTAACTATATCACAGACAGTCTGTACACAAGCTGGCTAAAAGTCTCGCCTGGAACTAACACGCCCACTGCAACGCTGTACACAAGGACACATTCTAACCATGGCACACCTGTCCCACGAAGACAAGATGCAGTACACGCAAATATTCCTGCAAATCGATGACGAGTTCGGTGACAAGACGGGGGCTCTGGATATCAAGGCGTTTGAGAAGTTCCTGATAATGTCCGGATACAGACTCCCTAAACAAAGAGTTGCGGTGAGTAACCTGAATATTCATACACATTTCACTGCCTGGTTGAAAAATATAACTTATCTAATTCCTTTGTTTATGCTTGAGGACATAGAACCCGGATCTTCAGAGTGATGAGCGAACACTTTAACCTCTGTGCTATGGAAGTGTTTTATACATGAGTAATACATAGGCATATCACATTGGTCTCGGCAATAGAGAGGGGCGATGGGGTAGCCTAGTGGTTAGAGCTTTCACTCGTCACGCCGAAGACATGGGTTCAATTCTCCTCGTGGGAACAATGTGTGAAGAACATTTTTGGTGTCCCCCGCTGAGATATTGCTGGAATATTGCTAAAAGCGGCATAAAACACTAGTCAGTAGTCACTCATTACCGCATTGTGGGATCGAATTCCGACACTCGAAACCCGAACCACTGAACTACTGATGCAGATAAGTTATGATGGTGGCTTCATGGTGGACATATACATTTGTTGTTACCAGGAAGTGTTCTGCAACGCTGACCTAGATGGGAACTGGAAGATCACACTGGAAGAGTTCCTGGCACGGCTGCCGCAGATCGCCCCACAAGGATCCCCAGAAGCCAGGTAACACACAGGGCGTCAGTTGTCGCCTGCAGGGGCGGAGACACAATGACATGATCACCCAACATTACCATGTACTAACGTAATTAACCAACTCGTTAAAACTGAAGTCTTCAGCAACCCATGCCTTTCTCCCCTTCATGTATTTCGAAACTTCTGTAATGAGCAATTTGGTATATCACCGTGAATCCTTCCCACATTGTACCCGGATGGGGAATCGAACCTATTAATTACGTGACAAGCGAACACTTTAACCATCTTAGGTATCATGGCAGTAGACAGAATAGACTCACAAATCTCGGTCAAGTTTTCTCTTACCTTGGAACCATTTTTCAGAGCATCCGTTATTCGGCGGAGGTTTGAGAAGAGCGACATGGACCACGACGGGTACCTAACGTTTGAAGAGCTGATTGTTCTGATGGGCGGCATCCAAGACGACGAGGAAGCGTTGCGGGAACTTGTCCAGTGCATGATTGACAAGTGGGACGGGGACGGCGATGGTAAAATCAATTTTGAAGAATTTCTGACAATGTATCTTGAAGCTGATCTGGAGGAAGATGACTTCGCTGATTTAGACGCTGCTGAAGCAGAGGAGGGAGAAGTGGGAGAGGTGAACAAGGGGGAAGAAGATCAAGGGGCAAAGAGGAACATACAGAGCTTAAACCTAAGGAAGAAGAATCAGTAGAGGAAGAGCTAGAGAAGCCAGACAATGTCAGTGCAGGTAAAGAGGAAGAGCTAGAGAAGCCAGACAATGTCAGTGCAGGTAAAGAGGAAGAGCTAGAGAAGCCAAATGAAGTCAGTGCAACAACAGATGTGCAGGAGAAGCAGGACGGACGGAAAGGTTGTGGTGTAGAAAGGAAAGACGGTGAAAAAATAGTTGGAGGAGGCGTGAATGTTAAGTCTATGGCGGCGAGGCTGGAGAAAATGGCGGTGTGACCATAGCGCTGGATGGATGTGTTGGCACAATGACATTGGCCGGACTCCAGCAGAGCTGCTGCAGAGCCAATACAAAAACAAATGATAAGTTATTAGTTTTGTTCATTAAATCGAAGCTTGGCCCCTGCAAATGATTCGTCAGATTCCTTTTCGAGTCTGTAGAAAACTGGAAATGTGTGTGTGTGTGTGTGTCTGTTTGTGTGAGTGAGTGAGTGTTCGAATGTTGCATTATATCAAGGCAACTCCAGCCTGTAAACAAACCTATAAATAAACCTGGATAAGACAAACCCTTCCAACAGTGTGTTTCTCTTTTTTCAACGACTAAAGCATAAATATTTTTTTCAATGATCAATATAAACTGAACGCCAAAAGAAATGTTACACCTCTGAACATTAGAATATCCTAAAATGTTATATGGATAGAAGACTTTGGTTTGGTATGTTTTAACAACCAATCATGTGACTCTATTGAGTCAAAACATCAGACTGATGAATTCATTGATAATTAGGATATCGACATGTTTGTTTAGGTGGGGTCCATTGTCCTATTTTCAATCATGTAAAAATTCAAATCAAAAGTGTAAAAAACAGTTAAAAATGGGTCCAAATGATATTGTTTATGATGATATTGCATGCACATTCACAAAGAGTGATAAAGTTGGGTTTTGGATATGAAAGAATGGTTGTTTACCGTAAAAAGGGACCCAATGCTGAAATTGGATTTTTGTCTCTTTAAAACACATTCCAACCACTTGAGGTTTAATTTTTGGATCATCATGACTTTCGACTGTTTTAGGAAGAGTCGTCAAACGAGAAAAGACTATTTTTTTCCCTTAGATACTGTAAAATTGTGCTTATTTCTGTCCTTGTATAAGGAAGCATAACGCCAAAACGTACCCATTGTAACTTCACCTTGCATGAAATGCACGTGAAAACTGTTGGAAACGGGTATATAAGGCCCCTAGATTTATCATTTCACACCATACATTCACTACAATGCCGAGATTAACAGCAGAAGAGCGGGAGAGGGCCATTGGAATGCTGCAGACTGGGTCGACTGATCGGGAAGTGGTTGTAACTGGTGGCCTCCCGCTTCTGGGTCTGTCTCTAGTTGTGCCAATATTCTGGAATCGCTGACGCAGCCTTAGAATGGTGAGGCGATGACACCCGAATGCAGCAGCCACTTCCCGATGATCAAATCACAGATTATCTCCCTTTTTGCACACATTTTTATGGCGCTTTCCAACCCATCTAAACATTTCTTTACACGTTTGAAATCTATCCTTTTAAAGTTTATTTGGGGTGGTAAACGCGATAAGATCAAAGGAATATGTTAATAAACGACTTTGCAAAGGGGGGTCTGAAAAAATGGATCAACAGACTATTCACAGCAAAGGATTATTTCAGCATATAGCATTTGAATCATTATCGCCTTTTGGGGACATTGATCTATTTAACTTTCAAGGAGAAAAACTACTATTATACTCCACAAAAATTAAAAATTACTTTTGGAAAGATGTCTTAGTATGTTACTCTTGTATTAATAGAAACCATATTGAAAACATCGGAGACTTTATTTGTCTACCAATTATTAACTTTTACCATTTGGTGACACAGGCTTGTTTGTCTCTTGGTATAGAAAAGGAATGAAAAATATGCGGGACATCATATCAATTACACGTGACTTTAAACCTTTGGAAATACTGAAAGAAGATTTTAATCTCCATGAAACATACCTTCTTTACTTTAGATTTTTGAAAAACGTACCTAAACGATGCTTTAGTCTTCTTAAGGCTACACCTATTGTCGATGAATTAGTTACAAGAAACTGTACTATTATTAAACAAATATGTAACTCGGCTGATTGTACATTTGTTTACTCACAGCTGTGTGACAATCATGGAATATCATTAGATAATCTTCAGCATAAATGGGAATCCAAGCTTAATACTACTCTATCAGAGAATTATCTCACTGACTGTTTTGCAATGATAAATACTACTACTATAGAAAATAAGGCTAGGAACTTCCAGTTTAAATTGATGCACAGAATAGTTTCAACAAAGTCATTTCTATGTACAATAGGTATTAATCACGATAATCTTTGTACTTTGTGTGGCCGTGAAATAGAAACTCTTGAGCACTTCTTCTTTTTATGTGAGAAAACTAAACATCTAATCTCTCAGTTTACAAGCTGGTACAATTCCAAGACTGGCGCTTGCCTCAATATCGATATTACTAACTGGGGGATGCTGAAGCAGGTGTATTAGTTTATCATATTTTCATTATCACCAAGGAATATATTAATAAAGTAAGATATTTCTCCGCAGATTTAAATTTTGATCAACTCTTCTACCTCATAACAAAACACTACCAGTTGGAAAAATATATTTTCGGGGAACACCACTCTGTCTTCAAAGCAAAATGGTTATGTCTCTTTCAAGACGACTAAATTTTAGATTAGCATGGTGAGTTTCTCTTTTCTGCACCCTTACCTCTCACTTTCCCCTACCTCTCTCTTTCCCCATCCTCTTTATTTTTTTAATAATTTTTTTTTATTTTCATATGTTCATCTCAAGTTATTAATAACGGCATCAATAATTCATCAACTGTAACATGTGTTATGTCATCTGTATAACCTTGATGAAATGTAGAATATCATGTACCGAAAAAAAAAAGGATTTCCTCATCAGTCCTATTCGGTTACATACTAGGAGTCAAGAAAAAGACTTCAATCTATAAACATTAAGGAGATGTGCCAGAAATGACCAAGTATGTACTACGGTGTAAAGCAACAGAAAATGCAATTTTCCTTCTAGTAGACATAACACTTTTTAATCTTGAATATGATATTGTATATGCATGTGTATATATCCACCCAGGAGGTTCGACCTTTTATAACAAACCCGGATTATACTCCAAGAATGGAATAACGATTTTCCAGGATTATTTATCACATATACTCAGACTATCAGTGCCATCAAATGATGTATATATGTTGTTTGCTGGTGACTTCAATGCGGGTTCAATGACATCATACAAAATCTAGAATGTGTGAGTTTCTAATGGACATATTGGGGTAAACATTAATACATGTAGTTCAGCAGTATATGGCGGGAGTAGTAGATTTTAATTTAAAGTTATTCAATATTGGTTAAAATTATTGAGTATGGCTCCAAGCAGATTACCAAAAACTGTTATAATATGATTTTTATGATAGAAATGGGAAAAGAAATTGGATCACAAACGTAAAAAGAATTATTATTCTCTATTGGGTTTAGTAATGCATGGTATATATAGCATATATAATCTCACTCGTTATTCCTGCTATCTGTTAAACAACGACTTAAAGATATGTACATGCAAAACTGGAATACAAACTTATCTCTTTTTAGCAATTTGTTTTTACTATAAACTGATCAAACAATCCGTCCACAGAGAACAGTATATGTCTGTGTTAAACGTAAGAAAATTCAGAATACGCCCTGCGTAATTCCTCTGTTCATCTCATGATTTGCTAATAGAATCTGGTAGGTATTTAGGCTTAAAAAAAGAACATAGGATATGTAAAAATGTGTAATCTGAATGCATTTGAAGACGAGTACCATTTTTTTGTGTATATGTCCAACCTATTACAGAGAAAATAGAGAAGAGTAGTAGAGAAATAAGTATATTAAGAGCTACTACTATGTACATTTACAAATTCATATCCCTTTTAACCAATTCTAGTAAAGTACATTTAGCAAGATTATCTACGTATATCTGTTACGCTACCACATACAGGAAAAAGTACATTCTCAAAAATTGAACTAACTGATCAATTCTTTACTGCATTTGTACTATAGGCCTGTGGCCTCCTGAGTTCGGAAATAATATATTGATATTGATATTGATATTGATATTGACTTCCTTATTTGGAAATTTAAATTACATATAAATTCGCTTGAAAATGTAAAGCCAGGGATAGAAATGCAGATCTTGTTATGGGTTCCATAGGGCAAAAATTTAGGTGTGCCTTTGTTGAAATAGGCGTGCCCATACCTTTTGATGATCCGGTTAAACTCAAAACATCACTAAAATTATGCCTTTTCAATGTATTTTTAATAAATCAGTAAAGATCATGTAAACCTGTAAACTAGTCTGACTCTCCCATCTCACTGGGGCTCCTTCAATGTATATGGGAATATTTGTTTCTATAAAAATTGTATATACTAAGAGACTAAGCGTAAGTATAACTTGTAAACCAGAGATCTGGATTTCCTTAAACACTATCATGACTGCAAGAATAGTTCAGCTATATTTGTCCAGGACCCATAAACCAGCCCACAAACTATGTTATCATTCAAAGCGGACTTTCCTGTTATGCGCAATGGCATTCAAAATGGCTGCGCCCATGTTAACCTGTGCGATTATGAGTACCAGAGATAAACAGCTAGATGGGGTGCAAAAATAGTTCTCGAGGCATATAAGTTGGTCAAGTTTATCGCCTTTCCATCAAGTGAATCATGATGTGAATTATCTTTTACTCATGCTGCATGGGCACAATGAAAATATTTCACCCTGTCATTTCAATATTTAACGTGCCATGGCACACACATTCAGCACTGTTTCCAGCCCTGAAACCCTCTCAACCCTGTGTCTGCGTCTATACCGACAGTTACACACACAAACATACGCTGTCATTGTACTATCCGCTGCACGCGAACCGGAAGTAAACCGGAGGCTAACAGGAAGCCAGCGCTTCACCGAACACGTGATCCCATCCTTTCTACAGTTTAATCTTACAGTTTCATGTAATTGGAGCTTGTGGTGACACGCATGTTTAACAAAGTTTGTTATAGAGTTTTCCGTGCTATGTCACTGCAGACGTTGGAGTAGCTATCCATTATGGCGACTCTGTCTCGGCAGGAAGTAAAACTGTACACTGAGTTCTTCCAACAGGTAAGTATTTTTATCAAGGACATCTTTAATTATCAAAGATACAAATGAAGACGTTTTGACCTGTACAGTTTCTTTGGGTGATATTGTCGGGAACTTTTAACTCAATAACGAATCAATGTTTGAACTAAGTTGCCTTACGTACTGCATATCTAAATATCCCGATACATATATATTTATGTCATGTTAATTTTCCTGTAAATAAATAGATCATATGTTGAGTGAAAGGCCAGATTAACACATTACCACACGTACCTCGTTTTAAACGAAAAATAGCAATCTCGTCTCCGTATTGTTATGAAATTTGAACGCCGAATCGATCGTACGATTCCGATTTTATGATGAATGCGTTTATGTGTTAACGTACAGGTACGGTTGCGCACGGTTGCGAGAGAAAAATCCCCAGTCTTTCTATATGCGAGTGAAGCGAGCGAGCGTCATGTTGCGCTACCAGTTTGCAAGCTGCAGTTGGTAACGAATCACTATCAAATAGCGTGCTCGCGATGAGGTGAACGTATCCTTCTCCACTGAGGGCACTTGTTATAAATACATGAAAAGGCAAGGCAACTGTTCGACTGAAAGACAAATCAAACCGACACTTGCATCGGACATACATTTGTCAGTGATACGTCAGAAATGTTCCCAAAAATGTCTGCTATAAAATGTTTACGGAAGATTTACGGAAGGTTGCAACCTGGACAAAATAGCACCTGAGCAAGAGCCAATCTTTTGAACCTTCGTGGAAAAGAGCGTGTTCACTGGTAGCTCCAAACTTGTAAAATGAAAACACCAAAGACTGAAGCTGTTGGAATATTGCTGGACATGTAACACACACACACACACACCAGCTTGCGTTCAAGTTCAAATTCGCACACCTCCATACCGATTGACAGCGGCAGCTGAAGGTCGCACAGTTTGCTTCCTCACGAAGTTATCAGTGTAAGTCCCGGAAAATTCACCTGTCACAATACCTGTAATCCATTTATTTGCACAGTTAATTCTGTCGTGTAGATAATAAAAAGGTCTTAAACGAACCACAACGGCTTCACTATATACACTCTGTATTGTTATGCAGTCTATACTGCCTAGAAGAGTACGGGAATAACTGACGAATATGGGAATAACTGACGGATACTGCCTAGGAGAGTATGCGAATAACTGACGAATACTGCTTAGGAGAGCATGGGAATAACTCACGGATACTGCTTAGGAGAGCATGGGAATAACTCACGGATACTGGTTAGGAGAGCATGGGAATAACTGACGGATACTGGTTAGAAGAGCATGGGAATAACTCAAGGATACTGCTTAGGAGAGCATGGGAATAACTGACGGATACTGGTTAGGAGAGCATGGGAATAACTCACGGATACTGACTAGAAGAGTACGGGAATAACTGACGAATACTGCCTAGGAGAGTATGGGAATACCTCACGGATGCTGCCTAGAAGAGTACGGGAATAACTGACCAATACTGGTTAGGAGAGCATGGGAATAACTGACGAATACTACCTAGGAGAGCATGGGAATAACTGACGGATACTGGTTAGGAGAGCATGGGAATAACTCACGGATACTGGTTAGGAGAGCATGGGATTAACTGACGGATACTGGTTAAGAGAGCATGGGAATAACTCACGGATACTGCCTAGGAGAGTATGGGTATAACTCACGGATACTGCCTAGGAGAATACGGGAATAACTCAAGGATACTACCTAGGAGAGTATGGGAATAACTCACGGATACTGCCTAGGAGAGTATAGGAATACCTCACGGATACTGCCTAGGAGAATACGGGAATAACTCAAGGATACTGCCTAGGAGAGTATGGGAATAACTCACGGATACTGCCTTGGAGAGTATGGGAATACCTCACGGATACTGCCTAGGAGAGTATGGGAATACCTCACGGATACTGCCTAGGAGAGTATGGGAATACCTCACGGATACTGCCTAGGGAGTATGGGAATACCTCGCGGATACTGGTTAGGAGAGTATGGGAATACCTCACGGATACTGGTTAGGAGAGTATGGGAATACCTCACGGTTACTGCCTAGGAGAGTATGGGAATACCTCACGGATACTGCCTAGGAGAGTATGGGAATACCTCACGGATACTGGTTAGGAGAGTAATGGGTATAACCGACGGATACTGCCTTGGAGAGTATGGGAATACCTCACGAATACTGCCTAGGAGAATACGGGAATAACTGACGAATACTGGTTAGGAGAGCATGGGAATAACTCACGGATACTGCCTAGGAGAATACGGGAATAACTGACGAATACTGGTTAGGAGAGCATGGGAATAATTATAACTAACGAATACTGCCTAGGAGAGCATGGCAATAATTTACGAATACTGCCTGGGATAGCACGGGAATTACTGACTTACGTCCAGGGGGAGTTATTGTATATCTAAGAGGAACTGTTGACAGGTATTGCTGTTTACATGTCTTCTGATCAAGCACTTACATACCATTTATAGTCCACAGATGTGTCTGCTACTGCAGCCATTTTACTTGTCAGTAAAACCGGTATGTGATATTGCAGGTAGATGAAACTGACGGTGACGGGAACGGCCGCCTGTCTCTAGAGAACTGTGAAAAGCTGCTGGACAAATGTGGCCACAGAATTCCTCGGGACGTCATACAGGTATATCGCTTGGGCGCGGTGATAGTGTGGGGCGCGGTGATAGTGTGGGGTGCGGTGAAGTGGAAAGTGGGTGAGTGAATGAGGTGAAGTGATGAGTGAGTGAGTGAGTAATGGCAGTTTATACTGCTACCCCATGTTTAACCCATGGTCAGTCCAATGATGGGCACGATGAGGCACGCCATATCGCTAAATGATGCTGACGACCCGATTACGTCGCCTCTTACGACCAGTTGCAGGGGGACCCCAAGTCAAACCTGGATTCTTTGTACATGAACCGATCCCAGCCGGTATGGCCAAGAATTTGGGGTTCCAGGATTAACTGAGTATAAAAAGAGAACTGAGAGAGAGAGAGCAATACTGGTATTGCAAAACATGACCATCATGCATTGGTCAGTGTGGCCATGTTCATACCGAGGGAATGACCGACGCCCGCGTTCATGCCGAGATTTCTTCAGCCGGTGAATCCAGAACTTGAGATTGTACTGCAACATCGACAGATACAGAAATTGGTTACGTACCACGTGGTTTGATCCCAGTCCGTGATCTATTGACACTAGCATATTTTAATGTCAGACTTGGTCAATTCTATATAGGAAATAACGATAAAGAACAACTGAGGTTAGAGGTAGTCTGTGGTCATTTTAGGTCGCCATTGTTCTTGTCCTGTGAAGAATTGAATGTTTGCTAAAAATTATTGGGATTGGGATTTCAGACATTTGTCAACCCAGGCGGAGACGGAAGTTGGACGCTGACTCTGGAGGAGTTCCTTGCAGCCATGTCGGAGGTGGTGCCACCCGACTCGCCTCACTCCAAGTAAGCGTGCTGTTTTTGTTTACGAGCGTATGCGCGTGGTGTATGTTGGTGTTGAGTGCACTTGGTCTGGTGTTTTTAATGCCACGGCACTTGTAAACGTTCTACAGCATTGCATCAAACTAATTCTTGTGTTTTCAAAATTGTCTCGATTCCCCAAATCATATTGTACTTTAACCTATGTGCTAAGTTTACCTAACTAGATTGTAAACGGTCACATCACTCATTCACTCACTCACTGACTCGCTCACTGGTGTTCCAGGGCGGCTGAGTTGCGGCGATTGTTCCGTGCCTACGATCTGAACAAAGACGGGTACGTGTCGTTCTACGAGTTGAAGAACACGATGCGTGGATCGGTAACGGAAGATGAACTCCGGGACTTCATCAAAGATTGGGATAAAGATGGCGACTGGAAACTGAGCTTCGAGGAATTCATCAACATGTACGTTGCGCCGATGCCGTCTGACAACAACGATGATGTTACGGCCAGTGCGGAGTCGAAGCCCAGTAACATGTAACTTAAAGACTTATCCTATCATGTCGGTCGTGTCGAGCAAACAGAGCAGAAATAGAAACTTAATTAAAGATTGATCGCCGGCCCACATAGAAAAAGAAAAAGGAATCCACACTCGAAAATATACCCTCCACAAACCCCCAAAATATAAGTACAAAAATACATACAGAAAAATAGAAACTAAACAAACAAACAAACAAACAAACAAACAAACAAACAAACAAACAAACAAACAAACAAACAACAACAACAAAACGAAAAATACCCAAAACATAACCAACACAAAAAACAAAACAAAACAATAATGTGAAACTAACAAAACTGAGAACCTTTCGGGGAACGTGACCCTTTCAGAAACGACCAATAACTGCATTGGTTGAATTGAGGAGTGTTGGGTTTCGTTCGTCGTAACGCAATCTCTGTTAGTTCTCAGTTAGGCTATCATTTAAAGGTTAATTCTGTAAAGCTGACAATTCAATGTTTAGTGATGTGAAATAAACTGGTTATGAATGAGGCTATCTGTTTTTTACTCATTTGATTATATCTTCTATGCATTAAGCATCATGTGATTTGATACTGAAAGACACAAAGACGACAGGAATACTCTCTTTGGTACCAGGGTTGTAACATTACAACGAAGTAAGTTTTAGTCACGTGTTCGAAATGGACATTATTGTATACAAAGAATGATATGAAACGATTGAAGCAGTAGTAAAATCTCTGGCACGTCCTGATTATCCAACCAGACATTACACAACCAGCTGACGAGGTGTATATTATTCAATATCATCACCGTCGACCATTTTTCAAAGAGTTCAGCTGAGCTGTTATTGTGAAATCATCCAGAGCCGGGCTGAAGTCCGAGCTGGAACCAAACCAGGAACACAATGTGTTTCTCCCAGTGATACTGCATGACCACTGCTGGCGATGTGGGACACTCCATACTTACTGCCTTTGTGTATCTCAAACCGGAACATGAGTCTCTTTAACCTATATGACAAGGATCTACTTTTCAGCCGATCCGAATTTTCTCGTGTGAAAGTGAAAATAGACACCACAAACAACTATGGTTACACTGAATTCCTAGTTCCTTGTTTCATAAAAAAATGGTATTTACTAACGAATTTTAATTTTAAACTTTAATAACATCGTATTTCTATATTTTATGGCGAGGTGTAGGCAGCATGACCTTAACTAAGTCGTCACAGACTGCCCCAGTTTGAGTAGGTCGTAAACTGATTCACAATGCATCTGGCGCACTGGTTACACCTGTTATGTGTTTGTTTTGCGCTTATGTGATTGACATAATGTCATGTCCGTACCAGACCGCAAAACTTTTCTAGCGGAGAGCCTCGTTTTGAGATTTCCACGATTTCCAGGTTTCCGTTTGTCAGAGCTCGCTGTACGACAGAGCACGCTGCACGACGTGTTTGCAAGGATTAGAAGGAGCGTAGTGTTGCAATATACAAGTGCTTAGATGTATCAAATAATACTGATTAATAATTATGTATCCAGTTATATGAATTGGTCTCAAAATTCTGGACTGGTTATTGTACTAAGTTGCGCAATAGGACGGGACCCAGTCAACAGGAAACGAGACTGTTGTGTAATCAATGTTTTGACTTGGGTTTAAGACAAGATTATCGTAATGTAAATTTCCATATACACATGTATCTCCTATATTTGACTAAATATATTTTGTAGCTTTGGAGACGTAATGACGCGTACGTGTGGGCAGAGTAACAAGCGAACAACGGATGACCGGTCGATTAATTTCTTCATTTCTTCACAGAGATATTGCATACTGTATGCATATTTATCATTTAATTGAGGGTGTTAAATGTGCAATAATGCAATCTGATAAACTCGGTATCCAAATCTGATAACTATGCAAATTACGTCAATCCACGAACTACTTTTACAAAACTCCATACACGATATGCGAATCCTAAAACGTTTTGACATTTCATTGATGACGTCGTCGCGAGTTTACATTGAGTGGACGAGGTTGTAAACAAAATTGGTGATTCTGTAAGAATTGATGACTGAGGTTCTGGAGTCGTTACTGCAGTAATTGATTTTGGAAAACATGAAACGGAGTACTTCGTTCAAACTGAAGGTACGGATTATGAGGCACGAGTGAAAGGCGATCGTCTAAGAAAGGTACCAACCAAGGTTTTCGAGCTATCGATCACAATATAGACGACGAATCGATTCCGTCAGGTATCAGAAACTGATATTGATGAGGTGAATACCCGCAATGAAAATAGAAACACTGCCAAGAAAATCCTGCCTGATTTTGTGGTTCTTTTCAGACAGAAAGATCTTATTTTAGGCATGAGATATGTTTGCACTGTATTATCGACTAGTCACAACCATATGCCGCCGTCATGAAGGACCTTCACCTTGGTGTACCGCTAAGTATTCTTACGCGAATGCTCGGTTCTCTTCATATATATATATATATATTCACGTACGATTTGCTTCTTTTTTTTAGAGCACTTTAAGAATGACATTATATGATAAAGAGATTATTAACCTCGTGTGTTTCTGTATCATGAATATCATATATTAGGAATAAACAATATGTATTATGCTCGCCAAAGGGTCGCATAATACAAGTTTTATTCCTAATATATGATATTCATGATACGGAAACACACTCGGTTAATAATCTCTATATACTGATTATATATAATTACTGTGAGTGAGTGAGTGGGTGAGTGAGGAGTGAGGAGCGGAGTGGGTAAAGGAGTGAGTGAGTGAGTGGGTAATTGAGTGAGTGAGTGAGTGAGTGAGTGAGTGAGGTTTCACGTTCCTGGTTCAGCGTTCAAGCGACATCACAACGGGGGCACCAACAGTAGATTTCGCACACTGTATACCTCCGCTGAATTATTGATATAAATAGAGGTGGAATAACCTAGATGTTTAAGCCGAATTCCCAGGCTCTTATAGATAAAATGTGACATTTATTGTGTCAATAGACGCGATATTGTTCCGGTCCATCGGATTGAAGGAAAAAGAGAGTTAACAGTAAATATTCTTATTGAATCATAAGTCCGCCATATGGAAAGTTATCTCCCTTGCTTTCATTCACTCGCTACGTCAGAAGTGTTTTTTTAAGAATAAATGTTACAATATTTTTTACAATAACGACGGCATATAAAATAAATAATCTTCAACAGTATAATGGTAAAATTAGGCAATATGATATTTCATTTTACTTTCTGCTTATTCGTGTTCCTTCACTCCATTACCGGAAGCTGGCAGGTGTAATGGAGGCGAAGAACGATTTGATATGCGAGGAGTGGCGCTTAAAATGTTTAATAAAATATATTTTACGTGAGTAAGTATTAAATATGAGGTTGGAAATCTGAGAAAACAACCCTGTGAGGAAATGGGTGTGAGGAAATGGTGGCGATATTTTATTTCGAAATTGAAAATATTTTTCGAACCGAAGCGAGGGAAGAACGTTGCCAACCTTGGCTCGCTTCACTCGCATATCTGGTGTCCCCCGCCTTGATGTTGCTGGAATATTGCTAAAAGCGGCGTAAAACCAAACTCAGTCAGTCAGTCAGTCACTCGCATATCGGAAGACTGGTAATTTTTCTCTCTGTTGCGTAACCCTATCTGCGCTACAGTTTGCCTGTGGGCGGGGCTACTCGCCCTTACTCTCCGCCACACGTCAGCGCAAAGCACATGTAGATTGGCCACTCGGTAGGAAAAGTGGATCATTCAAATACAGAATTTTTTTGTTAATTATGAGCTGAAAAATTCAGTTCCTGAACTGAAAATCGAATGGCTGTGTCACTTCCCTTCAATAAGTCTCTCAATAAATGGAGAATACCAGAGCCATGTAGTATCAATTCAGATCCAGTGACCTAATGTGGACATCGTTTATACTGTTTCAAGGAATGGACATCAGTATTGTCCGTTAGTTGGCAATGTCCTCTTCTCAGGTCGCGAGAATCAAATAAGACATTTATATTTTGCCATGATATTGCATTACAGTTTCTGCTCAAAATCTTTTGAATACCTGGCTAGAAGTGATCTTAGGTAACCCATGCTTGTCGTTAGAGTCGACTAACGGGTGGTCAGCCTCGCTGACGTGGTTAACACATGTCATCGTATCCCAGCTGTGTAGATCGATGTTCACGATGTCAGTCACTGGATTGTATGGTCCAGACTCGATTATTTACAGACCCCGCCATATAGCTGGAATATTGCAGAGTGCGGCGTTAAACAACAAACAAACCAAACAAATAATTATCTTTTGATGCTGATGTAAAATATACTATCTCAAAAAAGAAACTCATATAAGAATTTGAACTAATTTGTTTTCTTTATCATGATATATTGTGTTGGTTTTAATAATCAACGAAATGCAATGAAACTTCGCATAGGTAATGTTCCAATATCGATGTTTGGTAGGGCTCGGGAAAAGTCAGATAAGGGATGACACAAAGATGCTTGGTGGCGCTGAAGTTAGTACCTAGTGTGACCACCATAGGCGTTCAGTTCTGCGCGACATCGGCTGGGCATCAGTCTCTGGATCTGATGTTGCTGAATTGCAGTCCACTGCCTGTAGTACATGGGCGAGTGGTTGAAGGGTCTGCGGCTGTTGGTGACGCTGTCGTACACGCCTGTACGGCAAAACGTTCATGACGGCGTTTGTACACTCTCATTCTTCCATTGCGTCGTTCCAACAGAATCTCGATTCATCGCTGAACCAGATTCAACGCCAATTAGCGATAGTCCAGACCTGAACGTTGGTGCACCACTGAACACGATGTTGTCGATGTAGCTGACGTAGCACAGGGCCAAAGTACGGTCTTCGTGCTCCCAAACCCGCCTCTCGAAGCCTGTTCCTGACAGTCTGTGCGGATAATCGTCGTTATCCGGGTATGTGTCTAGCGATACTGGTGGATGTAGCTGTACGATGACATAGGTGATGTACCCGGATGTACCGATCTTGGGCTCTAGTGGTCACTCGGGGTCGTCCACTTCTAGGTCTGTCTTCGACCGTGTTCTGCTGGTGATATCTCTCCCAGAGACGTGAAATCGTGCTCTGGTGTACGTTCATACGACGGGCAACTGCATGCTGAGTTTGTCCTGCTTCCAGAAGCCCTATAGCAATATTTACATTGGGCATTGAGTCGGCTGAGTCAAATAAAGTGTGGCATTTTTAATTCTTTTTATCAGAAACGCTCAAATAAAGTGACTTTTAAACAAAACCCCAGTGATCCATCTTTTATACCCATCAGTGATCCATCATCTTTTATACCCATCAGAGATCCATCATCAGTTTCATCTTTTATACCCATCAGTGATTCATCTTTTATACCCATCAGTGATCCATCATTTTATACCCATCAGTGATCCATCTTTATACCCATCAGAGATCCATCTTTTATACCCATCAGTGATCCATCTTTTATACCCATCAGTGATCCATCTTTTATACCCATCAGTGATTCATCTTTTATACCCATCAGTGATCCATCTTTTATACCCATCAGTGATCCATCTTTTATACCCATCAGTGATCCATCTTTTATACCCATCAGTGATTCATCTTTTATACCCCATCATTTTTATACCCATCTTTTATACCCATCAGTGATCCATCTTTTATACCCATCAGTGATCCATCATCATGATCCATACCCAGTGATTCATCTTTTATACCCATCAGTGATCCATCTTTTATACCCATCAGTGATTCATCTTTTATACCCATCAGTGATCCATCTTTTATACCCATCAGTGATCCATCTTTTATACCCATCAGTGATCCATCTTTTATACCCATCAGTGACACGATCTGTGTCCTAAGTTTCATGTGCATTACACGTGCACTATGTGTTCTGTGGCATTGCATGCACCAACTCAAGATCATGCGGTTACATACAGGTATTTCCTGCTGGATGCGTTTGGGTGCGATGTTTTCAGACAAAAACTTCATGGTGGTCATAAACAAATGAAACGTGTTTGTAAAATCCTCCCTGTACCAATACACGGATGGATCTAAATTCCAATTTCGTGATGTGTTTCCTTTTTGAGAGAGTATATATTTCACACACGTTCGTGTACAGCCCCCAACCTACGGATAAACGTCCTTCGCCTTCTAAGGCCTCGAGCTCGTACACACCGATGTGTGAAGCCCATTTCTGGTGTTCCCCCCCGCGTAAAACCATACTCACCCATGGTACACACCGACGGCTCCACATGTAAATGAATACACTATACCATTTAACATGTGGACATTTAGCCTCAACATGTCCGAAAGTAACCAATCATTCTTCATCCTTTATTAGAGAATGAAAGCAATTTCATGCAAATTCAGTAAGAATGTTAACCGAGAGACCGATGTAGTCTTACTGAGTTATTTTGATTTCTGTTGAGCTGTCACAGTTAAATTTGCCGAAAGTATAAACAAGTTATCAGAATGGGCCCTTTGCTAGATTCTGAATCACCTGTTTACACCATGGCAACGACAGATAAAATTACTAATTGACACGTTCCCACTAAAGAATGGAATCTCAAGTCTTACCTGGAGGATGGTAGAATTCTTCAGTAAAAGGACATTAATGTATTTCAATCATTTAGCGTCACGACTCCAGACATTTGTGGCCACTGTGGCCTCGTTACTGGACTCTGCTCAGACCTCACGGTTCGTCATTTGTGGTGGTTTCGCTGTGTCCGGTTACAGCTCGTATTCTACGCCAGCGGGACAACTGTCCTACATATTTCAACCTGGCCTTATTTTCAGACATCTCTAATTCTGGACGCAAGATTACAAAGGGAACATCATCCGTTTTTGCGTCCCCCTGCTAGCCAGGATTTGTTTCCAGGTGTTTCAGTTCTTGGTTTGTAAGCACCACGGCCATGCTTACTGGCTTCACAGGAATGTCATGTTCAACAACACTCGATGCGATATTTCCTCCCGGCTTAAGACCTGACCTTAATGCGGGCTTTCCTCCCAAAACAAGCTGACGTCCTAGATGCCGATGTACAAAAAAACCTTAGAGCCACAATTGTCGTCAGTCCTCGTCAGTCCTCGTTAATGTATAGGACCTACTATCACCTTAGCACTGGGATCATTTTGTACAACGGCACCCTGACCCACTGCGGGCTTTACTCCCAAATTACGCTGGCGACCTGACCCACTGCGGGCTTTACTCCCAAATTACGCTGGCGACCTGACCCACTGCGGGCTTTACTCCCAAATTAAGCTGGCGACCTGACCCACTGCGGGCTTTACTCCCAAATTAGGCTGGCGACCTGACCCACTTCGGGCTTTACTCCCAAATTAGGCTGGCGACCTGACCCACTTCGGGCTTTACTCCCAAATTTGGCTGGCGACCTGACCCACTGCGGGCTTTACTCCCAAATTAGGCTGGCGACCTGACCCACTTCGGGCTTTACTCCCAAATTTGGCTGGCGACCCCTGACCCAATTTCGGGCTTTACTCCCAAATTAGGCTGGCGACCTGACCCACTTCGGGCTTTACTCCCAAATTTGGCTGGCGACCTGACCCACTTCGGGCTTTACTCCCAAATTTGGCTGGCGACCTGACCCACTACGGGCTTTACTCCCATATCAAGATCGCACCCTGACCCACTGAACGCAAAACAAATGTGGTCTTAATTCATTTTCAAAGGGGGGTCGAAACATCCACTCCCCCCCAACCCCTCCACCCCTCTGGATCCGCCAATGGAAATTCAGGGTACCATTACAGTGTGTGACACCATCGGCATTATGGTGCGGTCCCAGTGCCGACCTCACGCTACTCGACCTTCTCGACCTGAAGGTCGAGTTGGGGGTCGAGTTGATAGAGTTTCAGAACGAGTTAGGTCGAGTCAGGTCGAGTCAGATCGAATCAGGTCTACCAAGTTTTTGAATTTTTTTTTTGACATGTCAAAAATTTTCCCCGACTTCCTTCTCGACCTTCGGTCAGAGATGGGATCGAGACCAGGTCGGGAATAGGTCGAGGTAGGTCGAGTTTAGGTCGAGTTTAGGTCGACATTAGGTCGAGTTCGTCGAGTTGAAGTTCGAGGTGGCCTGACATGCCGATCTGTGTTCGTCTTAGAGTCGATCTGTACTCTGTCTCGACTCGACCTTGAGTCGACCAACTCGAACTGGACTCGACTTGGACTCAACCTGGAGTCGACCGACTCGACCTGAAGTCAACCTATCTCGACCTCAACTCGACCTAATCGAGTCCGCGCCGACCGAATAAATGGTCGCCATCTTCCCAGATGCTTCATAAAAGCCAAACGGCAGCCAGTGGTAGCACATCATCTCCACACCAACTTGCTGCCACCCAGAGGTCCACCCAGAGGTCCACCACCCTCTCCAACACGCTGCAAAGTAGCGGAATAGGCTGGTATCTTCCCCAGCTTTGACTCCAGTGCTGCAGCAGGTATATCTCTGTACCTGCCAAGCGGTCTCTTGGACCCTACACACACCTCAGAGGATCAGTCACATGTTCAGGTCTCTCAGCAAGGACAGTGAAACTGAGAAGTAGAACTTGATACTCATATATTGTCATGAGCACTTTATACTGATCTGAAATGTTACCTTCAGATTATTTAAATGAGTTTCCAATACAAGATTTAAAAGCTTTTTTATCTGATATTTTTTTTGTATTTTCCATCCATTGCTAAGTGTAAATGTTAATACATCTTGTACGATTGTAATAAAGTTTGTTTTGTTCATCATGTATATAGTAAGTTTTCATTGTGTTTTTTTCGCATTTACCCCAATTGTAAATAGTGTACATAAAAAACAAACAAGAGTTCCTTTGTAAATGAAGCAGTCCTAAGTAATAGAGTACACTTTAAAGTCATTTGGATATCATTTTCTCTTGCCAATGAACAGCTCCTGGGCCCATGAAATAGTCCTTCAAATAGTTTCTTTGGTTGGCGCCATCTAGTGGGGTAACGTTCCTCGCACCCCGGTTATCCCCATCAAGCAGCTGTGTGCAGGAGCGCCACTCGCCTGGGGTGAGTGAACAGTCCCCATTCCCCGGTCTATGAGGTTCATCTGACTGTTCCGGTTCCTCGTTCTCAGCATGTTGTGTAAAGTGACGCAGGCCTGGGTTATCTGTTCAGCTCTGTCTGTAGTGCTATTTAGGGAGCCGAGGAAGATCTGGAACCTCATAACCAGAATCCCAAAGGTATTCTCCACCACTCGTCTGGCCCGAGACAGTCTGCAAAAGTCACAAATTAAACAGTTTTAAGTCAAAAGCATTCAAAATTCAAAACCTCTGATATAATATTGCATACACCCAAAGACACTAAGTTATAATTTGATTTAGGTATTTATGGAAAAGAATAATTACCTGCAGTTGAAGATCTGCTGATCGGGGTCCATCTGACGCATGGAAAAGGACTTCATCCAGGGGCGGAGTGGAAAGGCATCGTCTCCGATGATGAAGTATAGCACACCATACGGGGAATACAAGGTCATCGCCCGCCATCCGATCTCGTGAATGGTTGAAGACCATCAGCGTCTGATGCTGATCCCGACGTTGACCCACGGGAACTTGTAGTCGGCATCCGCGAGTGCCAGCAAGACGATAGAGAAGAAGTACTTGTAGTTGTAGAAGAGAGACCCGCTTTTGGGTACCTGGTGAAAATGCACCCTGTAATTTATACAATTTGGAAACCAAGGGTCTACTCGGCAGAAAAATGGAATTTCCGTCGAGAACCAGTCGCTCCGGTTGAACACAGGTCGCGGTGGGGTCGGGCCGGTCGACTTAGGACGAAATTAATTCGAAATTAGGTCGATATACAGGTCTAGCTGGTCGAGTATAGGTCTTCTGACCTAAGTCGAGATAGGTCGACTGAAGTCGAACTAAAATCGAACTAAGGTCGTAAAGGTCCTTACGAGGTCGTTATGAGGTCGTTGTGAGGTCGAGATAACCCCCAGGTCGAGACCGGTCGAGTAGTTTGCGAGGTCGAGTCGGTCGAGCTCCCGAGGTCGCCACTGGGACCGCACCATAAAGTAGCCATTGAGCACGTCTTCACATTTTCCGGAGATTCCTAAACTTCCCATAATGGATGCTCAATGGTTCTGATACATTTTTCTTGGCCGTCACAGGATGTCCAGTGTCCATCCACAATGATCCTGCTTGAATACAGATCGGTCAAACACGTCCTTTTTCTGACAGCGTAGTCTGACACATAGTCTGGACGGAGAAATAGATAGGGCCGTGTATTGCCCCAAATTTCGTATTGCGATACATTGCGATACACTCTTCTGTATTGAGATACGTATTGCGATACATTCTTCTGTATTGCGATACGTATTGCGATACATTGCGATACACTCTTCTGTATTGCGATACGTATTGCGATATATTGTGAAAGAACATTTTTTGAGATCTGTCCACTTTGTAATATTCTTTTACCTTCAAATTGAATCACAGTATCTGTGAGTAACCATTGTGCATTGGATAGCTTCTTTCAAAGCAAGAAAAAAGAAAAACCAGAACATTCTTCTGTTTATATTTTTAATTCAATACAGCAAGGATCGACACTCACTAAACATTTTAACTAGTCCTCCGGGCTAGTGGATTTTGTATGTCACTAGTCCTTTCCAAATATTACTAGCCCTACACTTTACTATTAAAAACTTTCAACAAGTCTTTCTTTAATGGTAACTGCTGACCAAAGGAACGTTAACACAGATAAATGTATGATTTCTCATTTCATATATATGACAAATTCAACTGAAACTAGCTTACACCATGTCCTCCATAAACCCACCCATGGTTTGTCATTTTGTAATATCAGTGATTACGACTTATTATCTATTCTTTTGCCCGTTTATATACTTTAACTTCTTGAAACAGCAAAGGATGTTGAATTTCAAATAATTTCAAATAATTTAAAGAGAAAAATTAATTGAAGTCATGATCTTGAAGTGAACATTCTAATCAAAACAATGATTTATGCACCTATGTCTTTGTATTAACATTACCTTGGACGTTGGGTACACTTTCTTATAAAGAAATGATTTAACAAAGCACTCAAGATGGGCTAACGTCACTCTGTATTAGGTAGAGTAAACTTTCTTTAGACGGAATAGAATAATGAAAAAACAGCCTTATAATAAGATAGAAGCCTACTTTTGTCAAGGAAAATATCAGCTTTGAAACATTATTGCTACTATATGTCATACACCATTAAAAAATTTCAGGTCTAATCCAACTGTTGATAAATACCAAAGGTATTTTTAACATATTATTCAAATAATACAACTTCAACGTAAATAAGTTTATTTCTAATAAAAATACAAGTTTACACACTTATAATGTCCAGTTAAACCAGGAAGGAGACGAAAACTCCCGCTATTTTAATTCATTTGTAAGATGTCATAATATCCTCTTACCTGTTTCTTTTATATTTTCATTTTTACGTAATCAGAAAATTATTATATAAAGATTAATTAAAGATCACATATACTCTAGGGGTACAAATGCATAAATCACTAACTGGCATCGCTATAAATGAAACCCCGTCATTAAAAAATACTCACTTCGATCTTTAATCAACTTTAAATCGACCTTTTTGACAACGGTGCACAATTCTCACCCGCGAACGAAATTTCAACCAATCAGAGCGGGGCGTCTCTGTGACGTCATATGAGGAATAGATATGAGGGCCGATGCAGAATTCATCTACATTTCAGGGGTAAATTATCTTGTTTTACAGTTTGTATAAACCTGAAATCGTGACAACTGTTGTGGAAAATTAAAGCTATATGTTCTCACAATCTACTGTCGATATAATTTTGTCTCCTGCTTTGCCTAGTTTCCGAGTTACAACTTGTTTTCATAGACGATTCTGTCAAAATCGCTTGGTGTCGTTAGGCCTTATTTGTATAATGACTGATCCAAATTGATCCTATTTCTGTGTTTTTTTACCTCGATATTTAATCATGTCATGTAAAACTATGACGTCTATTACGTATGATATTAAAAATTGACATTTGATTTATTTGAATCGGTAAACTAAACAACCCTATTTTGCCATTGCTAGAAGAATCTGAAATTTTACTTAAGTAAATAGGTACATACAGTTTTAGCACACAGCAAATGCTTATATGTATTTCTTATGCAACAATGAAGTTCTGTTTGTATTCTCAAAACAGTGTCGGCCCATAGTGCCTTTCACATGCAATTAAAATTGCATGCAATACAGCAATGAATACTCCCTCGTTGTAACCCATGTTAGGTGGTATAAACCTACACATGTTTTTTGTCATCATTCACTTGATGGTCAGTTAATGAATTTATAACAGGTATAATTAGTGGTAACACCACTTAGATTAACCGACAAAGGTTCCCATTTGGCATTCTTGTGTCTGGAGTAAATATTCAACATTATAAACATCGATCAAAGGATTAACCGAAAATGTAACAAATAAATCTTCGTTCACACCCATAACCCCTACATGCCACTACCCCTACACTCCAGTACCCCTACAGCTAGTTAAAACAACACCTAGCATTTACCTGTCTGATATAATAGACTAATCCTAAAGAGGGATTAGTGCATGGAGCATAGATGAGATCAAGGGATGCATAAATGTGGATTAGTCTTTTGTGGCAAGGAAATTAGTGGTCCTCATGATGAAAACAAACCTCAACCCTGAGTAGAAGAAACATACAATTGGAAAAGTGTTGTGATTGCTAAATGTTGTTAAGAAAAGTTGTTATAGTGCACTTTAATGTTACATATATTACAATGTTGAGAAGTTGAGAGAAATAAAACGTGGAGATGATACAGGAAATTGAGATTGTTCCATACAGTAT